GCCCGGCGTGAATTTTAAGCCACCGGGTCTGGGACGCGAACCGCAGTCGACTACGTGGGAGTCCAGCGACATAGCCATTACACTAACTGCTGGTTCCCTGGAGTCCTCTACTTTTAAGATCCGGCTCAAGTCTGCCCTGGTGCAGCAGCCTGAGCTTCAGCACGTGCTGTTTTCTCTGTCACGGGTCTCTACAGGCGTGTTCCCTCCGAGGACTAAACCCCAGAGGGCAGGGAGACAATGGGCCTCTTTAGGCTTTCTTAAAATTAAAACAATAGTGTTGGGACCAGCAGTTAGCATAATGGCTATGTCGCTGGACCCCCATCCAGTCGACCGCGGTTTGAATCCCGGACCCGGTGGCTTAAACTCACACCGGGCGCATGTGCGTGCATGCCCAAGATCCTGAGAGGAGAATGGAGGAGAAGGGATTGCAACGTGGCCATCCTCCCTGGAGGGTGATTTCTCACTTTCTGTCTCTCTGTCTCTGTCTCTCTCTCTGTCTGGTGAGCACACATGCCCTATAGCAAAAACCTCTCAAAAAAACAAACAAACAAACAAAAAACATACCCAATAGTGTTACTGACATATAATTGACACATAATAATTTACCCATTAAAGTGTACGGTGTGATAGAGGTTAGTATACCTACAGAGTTGCGTGATAGCACCACAATCAATTTTAGAATATTTCTATCACCTCAGAAAGAAGCCCTGTATCTGTTAGTCATCGCGCCCCATTTGTCTTCACCCCCCCCTCCCCTGGCCCTGGCCAAATACCAGTCTACCTTCTGTCTCTACGAATTTGCCTGTTTTGGTCATTTTGTATAAATGGATTAATTTTAACTGTGGCCTTTTGTGTTTTGCTTGAGTTAAGTTATTTTCTTTCTTTTTTTATTTAGAGATTTTTGCTATAGGGTGCATGTGCTCACTGAAGAGACAGAGAAAGACAGAGAGACAGAAAGTGAGAAATCACCCATTGGGGAGATGGCCATGCTGCAATCCCTTCTCCTCCATTCTCCTCTAGGGATCTTAGGCACGTACACATGCACGCACACACGCATGGATTAATTTTAACTTGAATTAGACTTGAATCAGGATTGACTATGTGGGAGTCTAGGGACGTAACCATTGTGTCATCTGCTGGTTCCAAGTCAAGTTATTCTTACATTTTAAATAGAATGAGTGACTTGCTGGTGAGATGAATGAGTACGAGCTTTAGTTTTGAAATCACCTGTACTTTATTATTTCTTTTTAAAAAATATGGGACCAGCAGATGATTGGACCCCCAGGTAGTTGATAGCAGTTTGAATCTCAGGCCCAGTGGCTTAAAACTCTTGCTGGGTGCATGTGCGTGTGTGCCCAAAATCCCAGGAGAAGAGTGAAGGAGAAGGGGTTGCAGCATTGCCATCCCTACTGGGTGATGAGTTCTCGCTTTCTGTCTGTCTCTCCAGTGAGCACACACACCTTATAGTAAAAATCTCTCTTAAAAAAAAAAAAATTTATGCAAGTGAGAGAGCACGAATGGATGAAAAAGACAAGCGCTCTCAGCAGAGTCTCTGCTGTACCCTCTGCCTCCCCCAGGCCTTCCCAGCCACCCAATGGGCACACACATCCTGTACATACTCGTTCATAAGAGGAACCAAACCCATGATCTTCCATTGCATCCAGCTTTGATTTAATAGTGCATTACCGCTACGCCACAGAACTGGCCCCTTGTTATTTCAACATGGTATCATGAAGAGTTACCATGAGGGACCAGCAGTTGGCGTAATGGCTGCGTCACTGAGCTCCAAACTGCAGTTGAGTCTCAGATCCGGTGGCTCAAACACACCAGGCGTGTGTGCGTGCGTGCCCAAGATCCTGGGAGGAGAATGGAGGAGAAGGGACTGAGGTGTGGCCATCCCCCCGGGGGGGTGATTTCTCACTTTCTTTCTCTCTCTCTCTCTCTGTCTTTCTGGTGAGCGCATGCACCTTATATCAAAAACCTCTCCCCACCCCTCCAAAAAAAGAGTTACCATGAAGTTCCCCATCACATGGGTGATGATCATGTTCCACATCTGTGGATCAGCCCTATAATGACATCCAATATTGTCAAAGAACCATGCTGCTCCAAGCCCCTGAGCTGACTCCCTGTTCTCTGTTCTGTGGTGGTTCATCTGCATAGCACTCTGTATGAACTTCACCATCTTTTTTTTTTTTTAGAGATTTTTGTTATAGGATACATGTGGTCACCAGAGAGACAGAAAGGGAGAAATCACCACCAGCACCCCAGGGGAATGACCACACTGCAACCCTTTCTCCTCCATTCTCCTCTTGGGATCTTGAACATGCATGCACATGTGCCTGGGATGAGTTTCAAGCCACCAAGTCTGGGACTTGAACTACAGTCAACTGTGTGAGAGTCCAGCGATGTAACCATTATGCCATCTGCTGGTCCCCACAGTCTTTTAAGGGAGGATGTGTCCACTGTCTCCAGTGCGCAGCCTGGCTGAGGGTGCTCTGCCCTGTATTCTCCCACCCTCAGTCTTCACCACCACCACCGAAGGTCCCATTTTCCTTAGGCGGATGGATCCTCCCTCTTCTCACCAACAAAGTATTATTTTCTCTCATTTTGATTTTTCTACTTGTATTTTCTTTGTCCATAAATGCCTACTTACCCAGTGACTTTTTTTTTTTTTTTTTGATTGCCAGAGGGGACACATGCCCTCACCATACTCACCAGAGAGAAACAGGAGAGGAGAGGGAGAAAGCACCTCCAACAGAGTGCGGCCGTGTCACAATCCCTTCTCCATTCTCCAACAGAGTGCGGCCGTGTCACCATCCCTTCATTCTCCAACAGAGTGCGGCCGTGTCACCATCCCTTCATTCTCCAACAGAGTGCGGCCGTGTCACAATCCCTTCTCCATTTCTCCCTCCTGTTGGGAATTTTTGGCATGCACACACATGTGCCTGGTGTTTTTCAAGCTGCCAGGATCAGGATTCAAACTATGGTTGACCATGTAAGATCCAGGTCTCTGACCCACTAGGTCATGGGGATAGCCTTCAGATGGTCTTTTATAGTACACAAAGGAAAAAATTATATGGTAAATATTGGGCTGTTGGGAAAGTCATGATGCATTTTTGCATAGAAAAATATGTCATGACTTTTCCAACAACCCAATAGAAAGGCAAGAGGAGAAACAAAATACCAGAAATAGGACAGTTACTTTACAGCCTGTCCCTTAGACAATTCATTAATGGTTGCTAACTACAGGACCTAATAAAATTACAGAAATCTGAAGAAGCTAGACTAAATATAGGCTAGCCTGGTAATTTTCCAACAGATGATGATCTCATTCTCTTTGAGGGATGGGGAAAATTACTTTTGTACAAGTAATTATTCTTGATTGATTTATTCCCGTTCTTCTTTTTTTCAAACATTATGCAATGAGATATACTATTCATTTCAGAAGGGAGATTCTGAAGAAAAAGAACCACATTTAACATTTAGAAACATATGTTCTTGATTTTTTTTTTTTTTTGGAGAGGTTTTTGCTATAGTACGTGTGTGCTTGCCAGAAAGACAAAGAGAGATAGAAAGCGAGAAATCACTCCCCAGGGGGTTGGCCACGCTGCAATCCCTTCTCCTCCATTCTCCTCTTGGGATCTTGGGCACACACACCCACCAGGTCTGGGACTCGAACTGCGGTCTACTACATGGGAGTCCAGCGACATAGCCATTACGCTAACTGCTGATCCCTGCTATTTTTTTTTTT